ATTTATGAATGGTCGAAAAACGCACACGAAGGTAAGACTATAGCCTTACGTATTTTGGCAAATTTGGCACTATATCAAATGTACATATTACATAGGAATATGCAACATATTTTACAAAATACATCATGTGGAGGTATTATCCAACAAATTTTGATGCCTTAGAGTGAATTTTACGTATTTTGGCAAATTTGGCGCAATATTAAATGTACATTTTATGAAGGAATTTGAATTTTTTGGACAAAGTACATCATGTGCAGGCATTTTCTTTCAAATTTATATGCCTTGGAGTGAATTTTAAGGGAATTTATGAATGCTCAAAAAACGCACATGAAGGTAAGACTATAGCCTTGCGTATTTAGGCAAATTTGGCACTATATTGAATGTACATATTACATAGGAATATGCAAAATATTTTACAAAATACATCATGTGGAGGTATTATCCAACAAATTTTGATGCCTTGGAGTGAATTTCAAGGGAATTTATGAATGGTCGAAAAACGCACACGAAGGTAAGGCTATAGCCTTACGTATTTTGGCAAATTTGGCGCAATATTAAATGTACATTTTATGAAGGAATTTGAATTTTTTGGACAAAGTACATCATGTGCAGGCATTTTCTTTCAAATTTATATGCCTTGGAGTGAATTTTAAGGGAATTTATGAACGGTCAAAAAAAACACACGAAGGTAAGACTACAGCCTTACGTATTTTGGCAAATTTGGGACAATATTAAATGTACATTTTATGAAGGAATTTGAATTTTTTGGACAAAGTACATCATGTGCAGGCAGTTTCTTTCAATTTTATATGCCTTGGAGTGAATTTTAAGGGAATTCATGACCGGTCAAAAAACGCACACGAAGGTAAGACTATAGCCTTACGTACTTTGGCAAATTTGGCACTATATCGAATGTACATATTACGTAGGAATATGCAAAATATTTTACAAAATACATCATGTGCAGGCATTTTCTTTCAAATTTATATGCCTTGGAGTGAATTTTAAGGGAATTTATAAATGGTCGAAAAACGCACATGACGGTAAGACTGTAGCCTTGCGTATTTTGGCAAATTTGGCACTATATCAAACGTACATACTACATAGGAATATGCAACATATTTTACAAAATACATCATGTGGAGGTATTATCCAACAAATTTTGATGCCTTAGAGTGAATTTTAAGGGAATTTATGAATGCTCAAAAAATGCACATGAAGGTAAGACTATAGCCTTGCGTATTTTGGCAAATTTGGCACTATATTGAATGCACATATTACATAGGAATATGCAAAATATTTTACAAAATACATCATGTGGAGGTATTATCCAACAAATTTTGATGCCTTAGAGTGAATTTCAAGGGAATTTATGAATGGTCGAAAAACACACACGAAGGTAAGACTACAGCCTTACGTATTTTGGCAAATTTGGGACAATATTAAATGTACATTTTATGAAGGAATTTGAATTTTTTGGACAAAGTACATCATGTGCAGGCATTTTCTTTCAATTTTATATGCCTTGGAGTGAATTTTAAGGGAATTCATGACCGGTCAAAAAACGCACACGAAGGTAAGACTATAGCCTTATGTATTTTGGCAAATTTGGCACTATATCAAATGTACATATTACGTAGGAATATGCAAAATATTGTACAAAATACATCATGTGCCGGCATTTTCCATCAAAATTATATGCCTTAGAGTGAATTTCAAGGGAATTTATGAATGGTCAAAAAACACACACGAAGGTAAGACTATAGCCTTACGTATTTTGGCAAATTTGGCACTATATCGAATGTACATATTACATAGGAATATGCAAAATATTTTACAAAATACATCATGTGGAGGTATTATCCAACAAATTTTGATGCCTTATAGTGAATTTTAAGGGAATTTATGAATGCTCAAAAAACGCACTCGAAGGTAAGACTATAGCCTTGCGTATTTTGGCAAATTTGGCACTATATTGAATGTACATATTACATAGGAATATGCAAAATATTTTGCAAAATACATCATGTGGAGGTATTATCCAACAAATTTTGATGCCTTGGAGTGAATTTCAAGGGAATTTATGAATGGTCGAAAAACGCACACAAAGGTAAGACTATAGCCTTACGTATTTTGGCAAATTTGGCACAATATTAAATGTACATTTTATGAAGGAATTTGAATTTTTTGGACAAAGTACATCATGTGCAGGCATTTTCTTTCAAATTTATATGCCTTGGAGTGAATTTTAAGGGAATTTATGAATGGTCGAAAAACGCACACGAAGGTAAGACTATAGCCTTACGTATTTTGGCAAATTTGGCGCAATATTAAATGTACATTTTATGAAGGAATTTGAATGTTTTGGACAAAGTACATCATGTGCAGGCATTTTCTTTCAATTTTATATGCCTTGGAGTGAATTTTAAGGGAATTCATGAATGGTCAAAAAACGCACACGAAGGTAAGACTATAGCCTTATGTATTTTGGCAAATTTGGCACTATATCAAATGTACATATTACATAGGAATATGCAAAATATTGTACAAAATACATCATGTGCAGGCATTTTCCATCAAATTTATATGCCTTAGAGTGAATTTCAAGGGAATTTATGAATGGTCGAAAAACGCACATGAAGGTAAGACTATAGCCTTACGTATTTTGGCAAATTTGGCACTATATCAAATGTACATATTACATAGGAATATGCAAAATATTGTACAAAATACATCATGTACAGGCATTTTCCATCAAAATTATATGCCTTAGAGTGAATTTCAAGGGAATTTATGAATGGTCGAAGAACGCACACGAAGGTAAGACTATAGCCTTACGTATTTTGGCAAATTTGGCACTATATCAAACATACATACTACATAGGAATATGCAACATATTTTACAAAATACATCATGTGGAGGTATTATCCAACAAATTTTGATGCCTTAGAGTGAATTTTAAGGGAATTTATGAATGCTCAAAAAACGCACATGAAGGAAAGACTATAGCCTTGCGTATTTTGGCAAATTTGGCACTATATTGAATGTACATATCACATAGGACTATGCAAAATATTTTGCAAAATACATCATGTGGAGGTATTATCCAACAAATTTTGATGCCTTGGAGTGAATTTCAAGGGAATTTATGAATGGTCGAAAAACGCACACGAAGGTAAGACTATAGCCTTACGTATTTTGGCAAATTTGGCGCAATATTAAATGTACATTTTATGAAGGAATTTGAATTTTTTGGACAAAGTACATCATGTGCAGGCATTTTCTTTCAAATTTATATGCCTTGGAGTGAATTTTAAGGGAATTTATGAACGGTCAAAAAACACACACGAAGGTAAGACTATATAGCCTTACGTATTTTGGCAAATTTGGCACAATATTAAATGTACATTTCATGAAGAAATTTGAATTTTTTCCACAAAATACATCATGTGGTGGCATTTTCCTTCAAATTTATATGCTTTAGAGTGAAATTTAAGGGAATTCATGACCGGTCAAAAAACGCACATGAAGGTAAGACTATAGCCTTACGTATTTTGGCAAATTTGGCACTATATCAAATGCACATATTACATAGGAATATGCAAAATATTGTACAAAATACATCATGTGGAGGTATTATCCAACAAATTTTGATGCCTTAGAGTGAATTTTAAGGGAATTTATGAATGGTCGAAAACGCACACAAAGGTAAGACTATAGCCTTACGTATTTTGGCAAATTTGGCGCAATATTAAATGTACATTTTATGAAGGAATTTGAATTTTTTGGACAAAGTACATCATGTGCAGGCATTTTCTTTCAATTTTATATGCCTTGGAGTGAATTTTAAGGGAATTCATGACCGGTCAAAAAACGCACACGAAGGTAAGACTATAGCCTTATGTATTTTGGCAAATTTGGCACTATATCAAACGTACATACTACATAGGAATATGCAACATATTTTACAAAATACATCATGTGGAGGTATTATCCAACAAATTTTGATGCCTTGGAGTGAATTTCAAGGGAATTTATGAATGGTCGAAAAACGTACACGAAGGTAAGGCTATAGCCTTACGTATTTTGGCAAATTTGGCGCAATATTAAATGTACATTTTATGAAGGAATTTGAATTTTTTGGACAAAGTACATCATGTGCAGGCATTTTCTTTCAAATTTATATGCCTTGGAGTGAATTTTAAGGGAATTTATGAACGGTCAAAAAACACACACGAAGGTAAGACTATATAGCCTTACGTATTTTGGCAAATTTGGCACAATATTAAATGTACATTTCATGAAGAAATTTGAATTTTTTCCACAAAATACATCATGTGGTGGCATTTTCCTTCAAATTTATATGCTTTAGAGTGAAATTTAAGGGAATTCATGACCGGTCAAAAAACGCACATGAAGGTA